GCTGCCAGATAGTGGAGTTTGAACAGCTCTCAAACTAAACTCATCTTAGATCAGCCTCAGGGTCAGGTTTCTAACTTTTTTAGTGTCCGCAAGGTAAATGTCCTCAGCACACACACACACACCAACATTTCCGAAAGTGCAAGGAAACGAGTTTTCTCCGCCTGATTTGCTCAGCTCAGCTCAGTTGAGGTCGACGGCTTTAAGGCGCTTTCCATTCGCCATTTGTCATTTGCATTGAACAATTTTGTGCCGTCACAAATATAATTGCAACTTTGCAACGGCCAGGTGGCAGCTGGAGGGCAGCTTAAAGAGTTCCCCTAAACGCTGCAGCGAACTGCATTAGTGTGGCGGGCGCCACAGTTCGAACAACCACTCGAGCAGCGGAGCCAAATTAAACGAAACTTGAAAGAAAACTGCGCCCAGCTGTAAAGCGGACGCGAAATGAGTGAACTGGAAATGCAAATATCCACAGCGAGCGAGCGCTGAAAAAAAAAAAACAAAAAAAAAACAAAGAAAATAAATAACCGAAAGCCTTATGGACATTTGTTGGCAGTCTTTGAATTTATTTTTATTTCAATTCTCTTTTTTTTTTTCTTTTCTTTTCATTTCTTTTGGTTTTGTTTTTGGTTATTTCACGAATTGGGTCCTGGGGTCAGGTCAGCCCCAGCCCACACCTCACGGTCCCCTTTGTGGCAGACCAACAACGCATTTCGCGTTGTTGTTGCTTCGTTTGTTGTTGCTGTTGTTGGTTCTTTTCCTTTTTAATCACTTGACCTTTTGCGCGTCGTGTGCTTTTAATTTATTATTGCGTCCCAACCGCACTCACAAGTTTTCTTTTATTTTTCTCGATTTGTTTTGGATTTTTTTTGTATTTTTTTTTTTTTTTTTTTTTTTTTTTTTCGTTTTTTTTTGGTTTTTTTTTTTTTTTTTTTTTTTTTTTTTTTTTTTTTTTTGTGGGCAATGTTTAACTGCAGGAAAGAAAAATATAAATCTTGAAATTGACTTCTTTTCGGTGGGCGAACGCGAGTTTTGTTTTAGTTGCCTTCATTGCTGTTCTTGTTGTCGTTGTTGTTGTTGTTGTTGTTTTTTGTTACCTTTTTACAAACTGTCGCCTTTTTGAGTTGTCGCTGACAGCGTGAAAATCAAGATAAATGTGTTTGCTCCTCTTTACGCCTCTATTCCAATGTGTTTGCACTTGATGCTGTGGTTGTTATTTCATTGTTGTTGTTGTTGTTGTAGCCATTGCACAGCTGTTGGCGGCTACGACACCATTTTTATTTAAAAATTAATTTCATTTTGAAATCGAATTGAGCAGAGTCGAGCGCACTGAAGTTGCTCATTAAAACGAAAGCGAGAAATTTGGTTACAGTTCCATAAGCATTTAAGAATCGTAGCTCGCTGCCCAAGTCCTTCAGAAATGAGCAAACGTCAGTATGTAACAGACTGTTGGATCAGCATCAGCAACCCATATAAATCAATTTGCTTTGTATGCAGTGGAAATTACCAGCTCTAGCTAAGCATATGTGAGAGAGTGGGAGACCTGATGAAATCTCGTCTTCTCATCTTCTGCTCTCATCTTCTACTCGGGCTTCTCTCTGCCAACGAGCAGATCAACTTGAAGCCACAAATATAATTTTTGTATACATGAGCGCAAAGGTTTTTGTTTTCTGCGTGTTTCTAAGAATTCAAATTTAGTCTTAGAGAATTATAGACTTTTATTATGCAACTTTTTGATGTGTTCAATTGAAAATATAGTTGATATTCGATATAATGAAATTTGATCGGTATATATGTATACATAAATTTATATCTTCATATATTACTCGTCAAATGAAGCCACGTTATTCGAATTATTTGTATTGCCATCTGACTCTTCCTTTTATTATTTGAGGTGAATAATGAGATGCGTGCTACCTAAGCGTAAAGTCACTCCAATAACATCTGCACCACAGCTCTCTAAAACTCTCAGCCTCACACCAACACTACTGTAACAGTATGAGATGCTGTTAGATTCGGCTTTAGACTCATGCTACTCCACTCTGCTGTTAAACTCTGCTGTTACACTGCGCTATTAGACCGTTCTGTTAGACTCTGCTGTTGGACCATGCGACAGCATAGACGCTCCTGTTAAACTCAGCTGTTAGACTCAACTGTTTGGCTCTGCTGTTAGCTCTAGACTACGAGTATGCTGTTAGGCTCTGCTGTTAGACTCTGCTATTCGACTCTGCTAATAAGCTCTGCTGTAAGACTCAACTGTTAGGCTCTGCTGTTAGACTCTGCTCTAACTATGTATGCTATGCAACTCTGTTGTTAGACTCTTTTGTTGCACTCTGCTACTGGTCTCTGCTGTTGTTAAACTCTGGTGTCAGACTCTATTGTTTCGCTCTGTAGTTAGACTTTGCTGTTAGGCTTTGTTGTTTCCGCTGCTAGATTCTGCTGTTAAACTCTGATGTTCGTTTCTGTTGTAAGTCTCTGCTGTTAGACTCTTCTGTTAGCTCTACATTATTGTGTGCTTTTAAGGCAATTTTGAGTTGATCTGCCTCGACTAATGCACTTGCTGGGTGGTGTTTAAGTATTTAAGCTCTGAGGCTATCCTCTGATTTCTCTATATGCTAATATATGCCGCTGCATTCCGGAGAGAGATTTTTTATTTTCAACTCTTATCTATTATCTGCTTAAAGCAAGGGTTTTGTTGAATATTCCTGTACTCAATCGAGTGGACGTTAGGCATGCTCTTAGGTTCTTCTCAAATCACTCCCTCAATTCACTTGAGTGTGTCAGGAGCTAGATTATAGAAAGAATAAAAATGAATAAAGTTATAAATGTATGAATTATTACTTATGTATATACGCCGTTAGGCATCTCTCGTAATGCCAACAATAAATATAAATAGTTTTACATTTATTAGAGGCTAAAGCATAATCTTCGTAATTTGTTTAAAGCCAGAGCAAATGTCTCCAGTGTCGCATGCCCAATATCTATATGAATGCTCATATATACTCTCAACTTTCTCTTGAAATTATCACAATGTCCGGCGCACATGACAGAGTCCAACTAATCACAGCCCTAAGCCATACAAAATCACAAAATCTATCACGTTCTTGACTCAATGTGTACTTGGAGTCAGTCACTGCAGACTCGACAGCCAGCCAGAGAGCCACAAGTTTGACAAACTGACCAGGCCAACAGCTGTGCTCATGCGACTAGATTCAGGATGTGCACTGTGGGATGTGTGCGAATGCGCATGAATGGGGTCTCTTGGGCTGGAGGTGAGCTGGCAGCTGAGTGGATTCAATTCAATGGAGATGATGAAGCTGCTGCTGAATGGCCCAATTAAAGCTGACATGCGAACAGCTTCATTATAATGTAGATCTACAGGGTATCTTGCCGTCCGTGCCTGTGCATCACTCTACTGGGCTGACTGAAATGAATTCCATGAATAAATCTACTGACTGAGTGCCGGCTGCTCTGCACTTTTCTGCTCTGTTTGGCTTAAAAGCTTAGCGTATAAAACTCAAATTATGCGCTTCGAGCTGCTGAGCTCTTAACTATGTGTGCGTGTGTGCGAGTGTGTGCGTGTGCGTGCGTGTGTGTGGGTAGTCGTGTTTACGTGCGAGCGACTTGATGGTGTCTGTGTGTGACTCCTGTTGCTTAGAGCAATTAAACGATAAGCGTAATCTACGGCGTCAATTTGCCAATTGTCGCACTCACAAATGCGTGAAGGCGTCAGCGCGGCATTTCAATTAGCCACCAATTCCCAAGAGTACTTACTAACAACAACAACAACAATAACAACAATAACAACAACATCGATTTCGACAGTTGGATATGTATATATATATATGTGTACATAGATATGTATATCCTTACCTCCCTCCAGCTGATGCTTTTGCATGTGTGTGTGTGTGTGTGTGTGTGTGCGTGTATGCGTATGTGTGTGTGGCCTTTGCGCATATTTCATGAACTTGAGAACGAGAACAAACACAGCGCACAAATGCCGTGAGTGTTCAAGGCGATGGCGATGCAATGCTCCCCGTGGCTGTGGCCGTGGATAGGACTGGGACTGGGGCTGGGGCTGGGGCTTGTGCGGGTATGGGGGGCCGCTGAGTGCGGCCAATTAGCACAAAGGCATTTGACTAAGTACACAAAAGTGTTTCCGTTTAGGCAGCACGTCAAGTGACAATTAGCCAGGCCGCAGTCAGCCCGTGATTCGGTTTACATTTTTGAGAGGCCTCGCGGCAGCCGCGACGTCGCGACTTAGAATGCACATAAATAGCTCGAGCTGCTCTCTCTCTCTCTCTCTCTACACACACGCACACATGTATACATTTGATAATCAGCGCAAAGCCTAAACAAGTTATCGCCTTAACATTGAGCACTCAGAGCGCGCTTGGGGAAATTCAATTTAAAAGCTCTTGAGCTAAAATGAAAATGAATGAGCCCAAAGTTGTTTAAATATTTTTATTTTTATTTCTGTTTAATAAGTTAACAATTGCTTTAGGTGCTGCCACCTTTGGAGCAACTTTTCTAAATGAAAATTAAAGTAAATAAATAAATAAAATTAAATAATTAAATTAAATACATTTTTAGATCTTTATATATTAGATCTTCTTTTTTTATTTTATATCAATTTATATGTGTACATAAATACAACTAAAGTAAGCGTGGTAATTGATGCATTTCTAGACCCTGTCCTGCAGCTCTTGAGGGCGCTGGTACCTAGGGCTTATTCCAGTACAGGTGCTGTAAGAGCTATCATGTAATTCGATGGCATATTTGACAGCCTGCGCTCAGCAGCTATTCAGATGTTTGGCTCTCGATCCGCTCTTCGCTATATCCTCATTTGCTAAACTTGATTCAACTATAATTACAACATGATAATGTCTTTTCTTGACTTAACATCTGCATGCTCTAATAAAAATAATAATGTAAACACATGATCTTAATGCAACGCCCATCTCTCTCTCTCTCTCTCTCCCTCTCTGTGTTGCATTTTGCAGCGTTCTATCGCGGAAACTAAAGCCACATCTGGTCGCCGACACCGTCAAGCAGTACATAAGTCGGGCGCAACGAACGACAAAGAAGGGTTCTCAAGAGCAACAAAATAACATGGAGTTTTTACGTGGTGTCTATGCGTTTATGCAAGTGAGTAGATCATCGGTGAGTGTCAATTATTTCCATTTTAACAACTGTACTAATCCATATCAACTTGCTCTATTTTTATTCCGGCAAAAACGTTTTGGTTCTTGTTTACCTCTATGTTTGTTTTTTTAACATATCACTAAACAACCAATGTTGATTCGATATCATTCGAGCAAAAATACCAAAAAAAAACAACAACAAAAATAATGAATAAATAAAACAAAATATATGTAACATCTATCTACTACTATCTTACTTGTTACTACCTCTACAACAACCTTTGTAAACATAAAAAAAATCGAAAAAAAAATCGAAAAAAAAACCAAAAATACAATACAATTTATGATATACGAAACAAACAAAATATAATATATATAAAACGATAAATATTGGCCACGTCAATGTACATAACATATGTTACACAACATGACAACTTCATGTCTCTTGTCTGCCTTCCATGTAATTGTTAACTTGAGAACAAACTAAACAAAGAAAGCAAGGCCATCAGCTGACTCGCATGATCGAATCAAAAAATGCATCTATGTGTGTATATATTTGTATATATACATATGTATTTGCTTAGTCATGTATGTATGTATCGACAACTGAAAACCATCTCCAACTCTGGGTCGACATCCTCGACGAGCCCAAAGGCGACGACGGAGCAGCAGAGCAATCATGTTAGGCCATCGATACATACATATATATGTACATATACATAGACCCCTAACAAAACTAGGTATAATCCATATAAACCAATAACCGAATAACAGCATTAATCAAAAAGAAAAACCAAAAGAAAAACCAAATGAAAACAGCCAAAGAGCTAAACCAAAACCAATCACAAGGCGAGCGAGCGACTCCAATTTGCATGTCTCTCATACCAAGTTACCATGACGAACAGCAACCTGTGCCCTAGGCACGCCCATTACTGACTCTCATATCAGCATCATGCGCGGCGTATATACGATCTGCTAGGGCTCTCTCTTTCTCTCTCTCTATCTCTCTATCTGTCTCTCTCTCTCTCTAATCATCATTCGAAACATTGCCAGCCGAAATGTGATTCTAAATAGCGAGCGAGTGAGCGTGCGTCTAACAAGCATTAGAAACCAACATATTCTAGACATTAAAATAATCAAAAAATAAACGAATCAAGAATTAATCAAATATTTGAACAATAAACAAAAAGTGTATGTATATATGTACTTGTATATATGTATATACATATGTAACACACAAAATAATTTAAAACGACAAAATGCAACAAAAGACAGACATAAAAATAATGTATATAAAAAATACTAAAATACAAAAAAATAAGCAGAAAAAAAAAAATAGCCAAAACAAAACAAAGAACGAACAACAACAATTGCTAAGGACGCGTTAGGCCCAGCAGCGAGCTGACCATTTTCATAGAGCAACCACTTGCCCATTGCCCATTGCCCATTGCCCACTTACCCATTTGCCCATTGCCCACTTACCCATTTGCCCATTGTCCATTTGCCCATTGTCCATTGTCCATTGTCCATAACCATAGTCCATTTAATAACCATTGTCCATTTGCCATTCCATTCAGATTCAGATTCAGACTCAGGCAGCCACGCCCATACTCCTCTCTCTCTCTCTCTCTATATATATATATATATATAAATCTCTGTCTCTTTCTCTGTCTTTATGTTTATACAAGTGCACACATATACCTATGCATATGTGTATACATCTTGTCTCTTATGTAATGCCATCCACATACATATACATACATACAACTATATATGTATGTCTATCCATCTAACAACAACAACAACAACAACCGAAACAAATAGACAACAAAGTCATTTGTCGAGATTTTCGTTCTTCTCTTAATAGTTTTGATTTGCTCATTATCATTGTAATTGGCTGTAATTTGATTGACAATGCTTAGCGGACCATGAACTGTGCATAAATGTTAAATATATTAGTTGACTGTTTGATTTCTTACATTTTTCTATTTTCTTTTATTTGAACAAATGAACAGATAACAGATAAAATGCCAAATTTGTATTTGTGTAGCTTAAAATTTAGTCAATGTGTTGATTTCTTCAGTTTCTCTGTCTGTGTATGCATTGTTGTCTATGTATGTATGTATGTGTGTATGCGTGTGTGTGCGTGCGTATCTATGCTTATGTTATGTTAGGCTTACCTTAATTTGTATCGATGTTATTTACAACCACACACACACACACACAAGCCTATGCGCACATTGCGTATACGCATAGTTGGGCACAGATAATCTAGTCCCGAAACCGTATTGAAATTTCACAATGTTTTAAACCAAAACTACTCTATATTATTTCTCAAAATACTCAAAAAAAAAAAAAAAAAAAAAAAAAAAAAAAAAAAAAAACACAAAAAAAAAAAAAAA